TAGCACCCAGTGTGCCAATTACCACTGGAATTACCACTGCTGGTTTGTGCCATAGTCGTTGAATTTCGACTTTTAAGTCCTGGTATTTTGCGATTATTATTATTAGTATTCTTGTTGTTGTTGTTCTTGTTAGCTAGAGATTATTTACTATTTTTCTCACCTCTCCTCTCCACAGGGGCAAAAAAACTACCTTTATAACCATCTCTAAAGAACAATCTATTAATATGTGTTAACAAAATGACCATTTAAAATCTCAAACAATCTAAGAAATGTTGACATTTCTAGTTGATAATCACCAATCGCTCGATAAGAAAAGTATGTATTTCATATTACATAGTTTAATAGCAGTGAGGATTATCTTCGCCCAATACTGGAAAAACGAAGATACGCCACTTCGAGAGGAAGAGATACAATAATACAATACAATAGCAGAGTGGGAAGGGACCTGGGAGGTCTTCTAGTCCAACCCCCTGCCTAGGCAGGAAACCCTATACCGTTCCAGACAAATGGCTAGCCAACATCTTCTTAAAGACTTCCAGTGTTGGAGCATTTTACAACTTCTGGAGGCAACTTCTGTCCCACTGATTAATTGTTCTAACTTTCAGGAAATCCCTCCTCAGTTCTAAGTTGCTTCTCTCCTTGATTAGTTTCCACCCATTGCTTCTTGTCCTGCCCTCAGGTGCCTTGGAAAGATAGTCAAGAAGGTATTAGATTTCTGAGAAACGGACAGATTGGCATTGCAAATTAAAGAGAAAAAAAGATGGCAAGAGGTGGAGATTAAGAATGTCAATTCATAAACTCCAGCAATAATTTACCCAGACAACACGATGTTCGTTAAGCACTATTTAATAGAAAACCGATTTTAAAAATAAAACTAAACTAAACTAAACAAAAAAACATCTCAGCAACTTCGCTTAACGGATGTTAAGCGAGAAAGGTCCTTAAAAAAAACGGGACGAAGCTCACTTAACCGCTGTCTCGCTTAGCAGCGGGAATCTCGTGCTCCATTCTGGTCGTAAGACAAGGCGCGGTGGCAGGGGGTTGGGGTTGGGCTAGATGACCTACAAGGCCCCTTCCAACTCTTGTCAACATATTTGTCACTCGATGTGTGTTAACTTTATGTTCCCTCTCTGCTTTTCCCCTTTTCCAGCGCCGGGCAATGTTGGTGGTGGGTTCCCATCACCGCCCCCATGTTGGGGGCCACAGTCGGGACGGCGGTGTACCAATTCGGAGTCGAATTTCACCACCCGACAGATTCGAAAGAGCCGGAAAACTCGACGGCGGAAAAACAAGGAGGCGAGAAAGAAATCGATTTACCGGTTTACGTCGTGAACAGCTACGCCGAATCGTGGACAGGCGCTGGCACGGAGTCGGACGAACCCCCCAAATGAGACCTCCGATCAGACGCTAAGAGAAACGCCTTCCTCCTTTGTTGGATGTATTGGGTGGGGGCCATCTTCCTAAATTTGGGATCTGAAAAAGGGGGATTTGGGAGGGGGAGTGACGGCGGCTGAAACGGACATCGGATATCCGAGAAAGGACCCATGGATGAAAATCGTCCTTCCGTTGCGTGTGAGTTTGGCCGAAGCAGGGCCTTTTTCGCAGTGGCCCCTTCACTGTGTAAAAACAGCAAGAATTATCTCGCTGGTCGCGTTTTTGGGGTGAAAAGGGGGCATCTGAGCCCCACAAGGCCATTCCAAGTCTCCAACAAGCATCTCCAGGCCCGTCGGCGGTGCCTTCCCGGGAAAACCGGCGCCGAGACGGGCACGATTGGACGGGTTTGGTTAAGATGTTGCTTCTTTTTCCACCCCGTTAAGAGGAACGCCGGAGATCTGAGCTAAGGATCTTTGGGGGGATGTTCTCCAAAGCGCACGTCTCAGAAATAAATTATTTATTTTCAACTCGGCATGGATGTGAGTAGCCCTCGACTTACAACGGTCCGTTTAGCGACTGTCTGAACGTTCACAATGGCGCGGGGGGAAAAAGTGAACGAGGACCGCGTCCCTGTTCCCCTTTCGCGACCTTCCGACCAGGCGCGTCGACGGGGAAGCCCAATTCACTTAAAAAAAAAAAAAAACCCGAGTTATGGACGTATCAGCGGCGGCGATTCGCTTAACGTCGGTGGCAGGGAAGGTCGTAAGACTCACTTAACAAGTGTCTCATTGAACAGCGGAGGTTTTGAGCTCGATTGTGGTTGTAAATCGAGGACTCTCGGTATTAGCCCATTAAGATGCAGCCCTATTGGAGGAGGGAAGCTGAGAGGGGAAACTGAGGCATCAGCGTTCACTCTCAGGATGAATCCACCCATTTCAGGGCTTGAAAAATTAAACTGCGGCGGCTACACAACAATTGTGTAACGCACAAGGCACAAAAGTCGCATCCGAGGAAGAGAAATGTGGGCCAAATGTAAGGTAACCCTGATTGTCAGTTTCCTGGTTAGCTATGGCTGGCAGCCGAACGCAGGGTTAGATAAATCTCGAACCGGTTGGGTGAAACAATTTCCAGGAGCCAGAAATCCTACGGGGAGCCTCCTAAGCCAGGAGCAGTCTATCACATAAGTCCCTCCATCTTTTTTTTTTTTTAATTATTTATTTCCTGAGCTTTCGGGATGCTTCTGATTGGCTCCCCGAGGATCCAAGGATGGCGATTGGCTTAAAAACGACCCCTCTTTTTTTTTAAAAAAAAAGCATACCGGTAAGTCCTCGACTTACGTCAGCAACGGAGAACCCAGGACTGATGCGGCCGAGCCGAGGCCTTGGTTTAAGTCAGTTTTGCAACCTTTGTGTGTGTGTGTGCGTGTGTTGCTTGCCGTCATCCCTGCCACCGTCGTTAAGCGAATCCCTGCCCTGGCTACGTTGGTGATGCGGCCGTTCAGCGAATCATCCAGCTTCGCCCGTCCGAAGGTTTGTCCTAGAGGAAATAAATTTGCAGGATTCTGAAAGTCTGGATGTTTAGATCGCATAAAGGGGGGACGTTATTATGGTCGCTAAGTGTGAAAAAACACATTTTTAAGTTCGAATCTTAAAGAATTGTGGGGCCAGTTTGGAAGCCAGCGAAACCCTCAGATGCCCAGGAGGAGAATTGTGTGTGTGTGTGTGTTTTGCACAACCACAACTCCCTTTCCGTGTTGGAAATCTCCAAGGCTTTCTTGCGATTTTAATTTTTTGCGTTTTAAACTAGCTGGCACGCACTGCCACGTTCCCTAAAAGGCATCGTGGCACCGTGCCCCCCCCTTCCCCAAAAAAGGCAGGCATGGGGCGTGCCTCATTCCTGCCACTAGAGGCTCCTAAATTGTGTGTGTTTGTGTATGTGTATGTGTGTGTGGGGGGGGGTGTTGTGGGCTTGTGAGCACAAGACCGGCCCTTGGAATGTGGACTAGCGACAGATCTCGAGTCTTGTTTGGCCTGGAAAGGGAGCCCAGAACAACGGGCGAAGGAGATCTCTCCCGTGGCGGAGAAACAAAACTTCCAGGTTTTGTTTTGTCGGTTTGTTTGTGGGGTTGTGTGTCTTCCCACAACAGCATACACAACAGCAGCAAAATTGCAAAAAGGTGTCCTTCAACGCTAAGAAGGCCCTTTGCCTCTCTGGAGTCTTTCTTTCTTCTTTCCTTCCTTCTCTTTCTTTCCTTCCTTCCCTCACTTCTATTTTCCTCCCTCCCTCCCTTTTTCTTTCCTTTTCCTTTCTTTCCTCCATCCCTCCCCTCTATTATCCTTCCTTCTTCCCTCCCAGCTTCTCTTTCTTCTTTCTTTCTTTTCTTCCCTCCCTCTGCTCTATTTTCCTTCCTCCCTCCATCTTCCCATTTTTTCTTTCTTTTTTCTTTTCCTCCCTCCCCTCTATTTTCCTTCCTTCCTTTCTCCTTCCTCCCTGCCTGCTTTTCTTTCTTTCTATTTCTCTTCCTTCCCTCAATCCCATTTTCCTTCCTTCCTCCCACTCTCCTTCGCTGCTTTTCCTTCTTTCTTTTTCTTTCTTCCTTGTCTCCCTCCCCTCTATTTTCCTTTCTCCCTCCCTCTCTCCTTCGCTGCTTTTCCTTCCTTTTTTCCTTCTCTTTCCTCCTTGTCTCCCTCTCCTCTATTTTCCTTCCTCCCTCCCTCCTTCCCTGCCTGCTTCTCTTTCTTTCTATTTCTCTTCCTTCCCTCCCTCCCCTCTATTTTCCTTTTTCCCTCCCTCTCCTTCGCTGATTTTCCTTCCTTCCTTTCTTCCTTTTCCTCCTCGTCTCCCTCTCCTCTATTTTCCTTCCTCCCTCCCTCCTTCCCTGCCTGCTTCTTTCTTTCTTTCTTTTTCTTCCTTCCCTCCCTCCCCTCTATTTTCCTTTCTCCCTCCCTCTCCTTCGCTGCTTTTCCTTCCTTTCTTTTTCTTTCCTCGTCTCCCTCTCCTCTGTTTTCTTTCCTCCCTCCCTCCTTCCCTGCCTGCTTCTTTCTATTTCTCTTCCTTCCCTCCCTCCTCTCTATTTTCCTTCCTCCCTCCCTCTCCCCTTCGCTGCTTTTCCTTCTTCCTTCCTTCTTTTCCTTTCTTTCTTTTTCCTCCTTGTCTCCCTCTCCTCTATTTTCCTCCCTCCTTCCCTGTCTGCTTCTTTCTTTCTTTTCTTTCTTTCTTTCTTTTTTCTCTCTTTTCTCCCTCCCTCCTTCTCTTTATAGATATCCTCCCCCACTTTGATGTTATCTATTTCAATTTGTCCTTACTTCATTTCGTGTCCCTTCGCAGTCACAACATCCTGGATAAAAAGTGACCGAGGATTGGTTTTTTTTCACACTTATGACGGTGGCAGCATCCCCGTGGGCATGTGAATGACATTCAGGCAGCTGGCACGCTGACTCACATTTACGACGGTTGCAGCGTCCCCGGGGTCACGCTTTTGCAACCTTCTGGCGAGCCAAGTGGAGCGGGAAGCCGGATTCCCTTGTTACTCACTTAACAACTGGGGCAAGAAAGGTTGTAAAACAGGGCCAAAGCTCTCTTCGCAAATGCCTCACTTAGCGACTTAAATGTGAGATTCCACGTAGCTGTTTAGAAAACATCTCTTAGGAGTTTTGGAGGGGGGGAAAAACAAATTAGAGATTGGCCAAGGTTCTTTTTTTTTTCAGGAGGGGAAAAATGCAGTTTAAAGGAAAAAGTTTTCCTTTCCAAGGTCTCTCCGGGATTTTCGACCAGAGGCAAAGAATTATTTTACACTTTGCAAGCAAGAAACATTCCTGCGTAATGGATTTCTTCTTCTTTTAACAACAACAACAAGAAAGTTTTTAAAAAAGAGAAAGTTTCACTCTCTTTCCGATGTTCCCGTTTCAAATGCTCTATTTAAAACTGGAGGTGGTTTTTCTGGAATGTTTGCAAAAAAAAAAAAAGGCAGGGCAGCGGCTTAAAAATATATTTATTTGACTGATTTAATTCCTCCTTCATCACCTCATCTGTACCACCCATCTCACTTTTTAAAAGGATGCCGAGTGGCTTAGAAAACGCCGATTTGGAAAGTTGGAAAAACGTGGATGTTTTAAAAGAGGAGGGGGGGGGTGGAAACCAGACTAGCCGGGGATGATGGGTGTTTTAGTCCTTTATCCAGCCGGGAGGGAGCTGTTTGCAAAGTTGAATATTTCGGGTGAGTTTCCTTAATTGTACGAGAGCCGGAAAAAAGGCTTGGCATAAAAGCAGATTATTTGGGGGATCGAAAAAAATAATAATATTGGCAGAGAAAAAGGAATTGAATCTAGATAAAAGCTGAAGCTTTGCAGGAGATGAGGAAAACAAAACACCAAGTCCTCGTGTTATGACCACATTTGAGAGCAGAATGTCACTGCCGTCGTACGTCGAGGCATCATCCCGTGTCCGGACTCCCATTTTAAAACCATTTTTATAACGGCGGTAAGTCGAAAAACCTGCGACCGAAGTCAAATCGCGTGGTCGTAAGTCGAGTCACGTGGTCGTAAGTGCGAATCCAAGCGGAATGGTCACAAACCGGTCATTGTTTCTGTACCAAAGTTTTTGCTTTTTTGGGGTGGGGGGTTGGAGAAAAAAGAAGCTGGAAAAAAAAAGAGAGAAAGAAATTGAGTTTATTTTTTTCTCCTTCGGCAATAAAATATGGCTTAGAAGCCGCAGAGCCTCAGTGGAAAAGAGCAGTCTATCTTGAAATGGCCCTTTGCAAGGGGACCCTCATTAGAAACCAATATTTTTTTGGGGTGGGGGGGAATGGGGGGTGACGGAGAGGATCCAGGGAAGGGAGGTGGAGCGAATAAACGGCATTCTATACAATTCGTTCATTCTAAATTATATCTTCCTCTCCACGGTTCTCGGTTTATGTAGAGCTGTCCTGTCTTAATTGTCGGTTTCTGTCGTCTTAATTGTCGGTTTCGAGGCACCCCGCCCAGGATCACGGATAGGAGACGGACGAAGATGAACAGCCTGGAAAAAAATGGGGCAAGGCAAAAGGAGTGGGTCCAGGCCTGGGGGGGGGGGCGGGGGGAGCAGCCGAGGCCCGACTGGATGATCTCAGAGGGGGCCCCCATCTGAGGCTGGATTTGCGGGGCGTGGGGTGGGGGCGTTAGGGGGAAAATGTGGTGGAGAGGAGGGAAGCTGGGGTCCGACTGGATGACCTCGGAGGGAACCCTCCTGGGCTGGATTGGCTGGGGTGGGAGTGGGGGGAAGGATGGAACGGACTGGAGGCTGGGCGGTGAAGGAGAGGGGTCCGAATGGACGACCTCGTTGGGACCCTTTCTAAGG